TTCAGGTGCATTTTCTGATTGTTCCAAACTCGAAACTGTTTTGTTTAAAACGACAAAATTGGTGACTATTAAAAATCGAATGTTTCAAAATTGTAGCAATTTGGAAAATATCGAACTTCCATGTGGAATTACAAGTCTCGGAAACTACGCGTTCTCGTTTTGTTATAAATTGAGTGAAATAGTGATGAATGAAGAGTTGGAAGAAATTGGAGATTCAACTTTTATGGGGTGTAAAATGTTAAGTAATGTGGCGTTAAACCAAAAACTAAAGGAAATTAAAATATTTGCATTTAAAGACTGTCGTTGTTTGAGTTATCTCAATATCTCAAAAAGTGTGAAACTGGGTGCAGAGTGTTTTAAAGGATGTTTATTCCATTAAAATTTATATTTGGTATTTTTCTTGTTGTGTAATATTAGAAAAGACAATTATCGTTAACAAGTAGAGTTAGTGGGAAAATTCTGGCTCTTAAAGATTAACAGTTTTTTATTAAAAACAACTATTTATTATTAATTTTTATATTTATTATTATATAATAATTATCAAGCCTAACAAAGAAATAGATTAAAATTTCGAAACACCTCTGTTTGGAATAAAAACCATATTTATACCCAATACAATTATAAGTTGTGTAATCGACTTCGGTCAGTTTTAAACATTGTCTCTTTCAAGTGAAATTAATTCGATTCATGGGTGGATTGTATGAGTTCATGATTTTTAAACATTCACTACGTTTTGTGGTTAACTTGACGATGTTTTAAATTCAAATTTGTTGCTGTAAATTAAATGTCATATAAGATGCTGCATTTCATCGCACATTTAAGTTCTCGATTGTTGAATTGTGTTGTATCGATATGTATTTGACTAAATAATATCTTTGATAAATTTCAATTGTACTCTTTTTTATGTTTGCCAAATTTCTATTTTCAATTTCCAAAAAAACATTATGTTGTAATTGACTGTGTAAAGTGTTTGACACAAGCACTAAACAAAAAGTTGTTTTTGTATTCGAAACGTCAATTTTATTGAAATGAATTACAATTTTTCAACCATATAATTAGTTATAATTTTTATTATTTATTTCTTATTATTATTAATATTTTATTGTTTGTTTTTTGAATTTAGGGGTTTTATTTAATGTTTTTGGTTTAATACTGAATGTTTTTCAAATTATAGCAATAAATATTATATTTTACTAATATTTGTAAACGATCGAATTTTTTGAACAAACAAACTCTATAATATAATAAAACCGATTAAATTTTTAACATTGAAAAGTCCACAAATGGATATGTCAACTTACTTCAAAGAAATGAACAATACGTCCATGCTGACCCATCAGAAAAAGTCCATTTTCCTGACAACGGGAATTGTTGTACAGTAAGCACAAATGGAATGTCTGAATCGTCACCTTCCATTTACTAAATATCCAAATACATTGCCATAGGAATTTAGCCTTTTTATTCTCCCAAAAGAATACCCAAACATTCGTTTATAAATAATTTCCATAATTCTTGGTCAAGCCGTCGGCGACGCTATTGGTCTCTTAATAGAATTTCTCTCGAAGGAACAAGCCGAGTTGTTTTATAAACACAAGAAAATCAATCATTCACGTTATTTGATAGACCAGCACCGCTCTCTGTGGATGAATTTGGACTGGAAATGTTTGGACCGGACTGATGACACGGAACAGTCGCTATTAATACTCGACTCTTGAGTAGCAAACAATGGAAATTGTGTTACAGAAGACTTTGCAACGCGACATCTCGATTGGTTCAATTTTGGATATTCAGAGGTGGGCGATATGGGTGCCTTAGGTGTTGGAGCAAATTTTAAGGCTGTTTTATCGTCCAAAAATATTTGGAAAACCTTCTTGAAATTAATGGAAATTTGGAAAAAAAAGGAGGAAGACAAACTGCTTCTAATGGAAGTGTCATGAGGACTTCAACGGCTGCTATTCCTTATTTTTAAAACATCGAAAGGGTGGAAGAGACGGCAAAGACCTTTGGGAAGGTGACTCACTTTGACCCACGGTGCCAGGCCTCTGTTTCTATAATAGTCAATTTAATTTGGGAGTTCCTACGAGGCGAGTGTGATTGCCAAAAAGCGATTGAATTTGCACGAGAAAGAGGTAGAAAGTACATAGAAGGTAATAAGGTGTTTTATTCTGGTTTTGGGAAATTCACAAATTCGAAGAGTTTGGAACAGCTTGATTTAAATAGTTCGATTGGTTTCATGTAAGAGCCAGTTGGATGTGCAGTGTGGGGGGTTTAAAAGGCACAGAAATTGAAAAATGATGGGAAAAGTAACAAGAAAATAATCGAGAGTGTATTGATGGCTGTGACCTTTGAAGCGGGAGATGCAGACACCAATGGAGCAGTTGTTGGAGCAGTGTTGGGTGCTTAAACTGGTAAATTAGATATGTTCCCCAAAGACTGGATTGCACTTGATAACTAAAAGTGGCTTATTGAGAGAATCAACAGAATGTTGAAATTGATGAATTTGGAGGAAATTAAAGAGGGAGAAATTTAAATGATAAATTTTTGTTTATTTATTTTACAATTTTTAAGAGAAAGAAAATAAGTGCACGAAAGACTGACAAGATTTGTTAAAGAAATACTTGGTGGATTCGGGATGTCTTCCCACTATTTTTGATGTTTTTTGTGAATGGAAAAATCCTTTCTATTATTTTTGTGTTTTTGGGGTTCCAAAAACTGTACAAAGTACAATATTTTTACCATGTTTTTATTATTTAAAAAATAATCATTTTCAAAATAAAATAGTGGACAAACACCGTACAATATATAATTTTGTTATAAATTAATGGTTTGAATGTCCGAAAAATAAATTAATTTGTTTTTTTTGGACATTTTGAGTCACTTACTCACGGCATTTATAAAGTGTGAACCTAATATTTCCAATATTTGTGTTAAAATAAACAAGTTATATTTTGGTGTGTTTATATTAACACTTTTCTAACCGAAAACCTTTTTTTTAATTAAAGGTCAAGTAAAATTTTATTTGTCTTGAAACTTGGTTTTGTATTTTTTGCTCAAAAAACCCCTTCAAAATTGAAACTTGCCAACGGACAGTTTTATTTTATATAAAGAAAGTGTAAATTAAGACTAAATTACCTAAGAGTTGGAGAAAATTGTGTTGAACCCCAATACGCAGAACAATTTCATTTTAAACCCTTAAAATTTTAGGAACAAAAGGAATTGTTCATCGTCATTGTATTTCTAGTGTCAGTCTTTCAATTATTCATATATTGGTTCTTTGCACAACACTTCATAGTGTATTGCTTGTAACTATTATTCATTTTTAGTCTTTTGTTAAAAAAAACAACAAAATAAATTTAACCCAAAACTTTAAAACAAAACCATAATTTACTAACAGTTTTATTAAAAGTTTTAATTTATCTATTCTATTAGGTCAATCGATTGCTACCACCAATTCGTTATCCAACCGTTTTATTGATAAAAAGTCCACACTAATCATCAATTGGTGTTTCCTGTGTCACCAAGTTTTATTGTTAATACTGGGTGTACGCATTTTGGAATTCTTTTTGCAAATTAAGAATAATGAATAATCGCACCAAATGAGTACACATAAAGTGGGTGGATTAATTCACAAATGGGTTGTTCAAAATCTGTTTTGCGAGTCTTTTTAACGTTTCATGTTGACAGTATCCACTCACTCAATGTCACTATTCTGCTTTTTATCAATCGAAAATCAGCTTTATAGTATTATTCAATTAAAATACAAAGCCCAAAAGCCAATTATTTCTAATATATTTTTTAATTGAAAAACCATTTTTATTATGTTTTAATTTTGTTGGCAAATAAACTCATTTGGTAAAATATAAAAAAATAAATATCTGGAAGAAAGATTTGGATAGAAAAGTGTTAAGCTCCAGTTTACTCTAAAATGTCTACAATTGAAGACAAATAACAATTTAAAAAACAAAAACACTCATTTATTTTAACAAACGTTCTCCAAGCACTTTTTGTAAACCACAACAAAAAAACACGGTTTTTTGTTTTGATTAGCAAATGCTAAACAAATGCTATTGCGAACAAATTCTGAACATTTTGAACGTTTTTGGTACTTTTTCGATAAACATGTTACTTTGGGCTATTACGCGTTTCTTTTATTAACGATGTTTTTATCATTAATACGCTATCTTGGAAAGTGAATAAACAGCTTTAAACCAGATACTACATTGTTTCCTTTTTCTTTATTACATTTGTTTTTGTTGGTGTATAAAGTTTCCAGAAGCAACAGATAATACGAAAGTAACGTTTCTTGTTAATATATTTATTTGTTTTCAATTGTAGTTTGTCCAAAAACTTTATTTTTGATGGTTTCATTTTCAATATCAATTTCTTAAATCAACATATAATAATAAATAGTTTCGACTTTATAATTATTGAATGAAAAATAAATTGTTGTTGCTGGACATAGAACGTGTGGTGGTATTTTTTATTTGAAAAAAATATTGATAAAACGATAATAATTGTAAATCATTAACAAAATTGTCAATTGTTTTGTTATATTTTTCTGATTATTTAAATTATAACAGACTGTCTACAATTGTAGACATTTTGAACCAAACTGGAGTCTTAGGTGTAACAAAATACACAATCAATTGAAATAACTGACCATTTGTTCAAATTAGAATGAATATTTAACATATAAAAAAACTCACAAATAACAAAAATTCAAAAAATTATGAGACCTACATTGACCACCACCTTTACCAAAAAAAAATATTTGCCGCGAGTGTTTTTTAAAGGAAGTCCACTTTTCAGCCACTGTTTGTGCGTCCCCATGTCACCCACTTTCCTTGTCCGTACTGTGTGGACGCGGATGTGGTTCC